TATTAAAGTATGGGATGATTTGAGCAATATTAGTATTATAATAGAAATGAACATTATAAATGTATAGTAAATTATCATAACTGCAGTAAAATATAGCATTTTTAAAACAAGATTTGCAGTTATAAAAGTCAAAAAATCTGAAGTAGATTGTGGCACTCTAAAATAAAGTTATTAGCAGGAGCAGTATCCTTTCTGAAATGTTCAAGGTAAAAATCCACGTTTTTGTCTTTTCCAAACTCCATAGGTTCCTGCATCCTCAGGCTGTAGTTCCTTTTAAAATTAACATCAGAAATAACCTTGGAGTATTTCTGTCTCACTCTGAACAATTTCTATCCCTCCCTCTTGAACATTTGAAGGGAGTCTGCAATTGTAATGAACCTACCAGATAATTTGGAATAGTCTTTTCCTAGGTCAATTGTTTAGTGACGACATTGTGTCTATAATCATTGTTCTCCTTTACAATGAAATACACACATACACACACACACACACACACACAAATACACACACACTCACAAACTTGCACACACAATGTATGCACATTCTGGGTTGGAGGATGTAATCTTTTGTAGGGAAATACAACTGTGTCTGTTACATAGACTTATTTGATAAATGCTAAGGAAATGATGTAAAATATTACTATTTGGCCTACACTATTGTAATAATTATTGTATGAATCAGTGGATCCTCCGATTAGGAAAGATGGGAAACAGGTCAGTTGAATAGTTGCATTCTCAACCCATATGAAACTTACTAATTACAAATGAAATAACTGCCTCTACATACATAAATATGAGTGACACTACCATAATCAAGTAATTGGTGAGCCATGGGACACTAGAGAGTATCAAATATGTATATAATTGGAGTACCCAGAGGAGCATAAAGAGTGGGGGGATAACAAAATAGAGTATATGAGGAAATAATGACTTATAATTATCCACATTTTATGGGAATCATAAGCCAGATATCTAAGAAACACAATGCATTCCAAGCAAAATGGAACATGAAGCAATCCACAAGTCACAACATAATCAGGTCTCTTAAACTAGTGTTAAAATATTAGCATAAAATAATATAGGACACTCTATACAACACTCAGAATTCAGCAATGAGGATACTTGTAGGAGCCAGCCAGAAACAGAGTTTGGAGAACAAAAAATGAGAATAGAAGGGAAGGAAGCTGCAAAAAGCACAAACAGACAGATCTGTAATTTTATTTTTAAAATTACAACATGTGTGCAACATGAAAGCACACACTAAAATTGTGAAGAAAAATGACTTATCTCTGTTGCTCAGCTCTAGAAGAAAGATGTGCTTGGCATCTCAGGAGAACAAGATGGTGAGAGCAATCAGTGTAGAATAATAGTGAATTCAGAATTTTGAAGACATGCAGAGGGTGACTCTTAATGTTTTAGGTCAAAAGCTAGGATGTTGATGCTTTCAGACTTGATTTATATATCCTGTACCATTATAACCAAACAATGCCAGGGATTTCTGTAAAGATGAAAAAAATGTTTCAGAAATTTTTTTGGAATGCATAAGGCCTCCAATAGTCAAAATACATTCTAAAAATAAAATGCTAGCCAATATGAAGGACAAAGCACAATTTGATATTAGGATTTATTTACAAAGCTGACATCTCTGAGGTCATGAGTTTCAGGATGCAAATATTCTTGACTCTTTGTTTCAGAATTCTTTCAAGCTCATGTGACACAGGGACATGAAGACATCTGTTTCTTTTCAAAAGCCTCTGCAGAAGGAGACAACTGTTACAAAGTCACTCTCTGTGTTCCAAACACATACAACCTTGTTCTAGAACTATCTGTCCTTAAAACTTGTGTTACTTTATTTTTCATTACTTAGAGCAATAAGAATGAACACTATAGGTGTCTTCAAGATAAATATATAGATACATAGGTACAGATAGATGGATAGATGATATATAGAAGACAGTGAGATAGATAGATAGACATTCAGTCAGACAGACAAACAAACAGATAGATGGTAGATAGAACATAGTCAATGGATAGTAGACAGATAACAACTGATTGATGGTAGTCCTGATATTCAAGTATATTGACACATAGTATATAGATCTGCTTGGGAGAAACCGAAGAAAATGGTTTGGAAAAGATATAATTTTTTTAGAGCTGAATAAGGATTCAGGTTATTGAGTGCTACAGCTCCTAGGATCTATCAATTTTGCCAGTGAAATTCTAACTTGCATATTAGCTCCAAATATCATCAATTATTTCTGGGAAGTAGTATGGAATGGGTATTCTTTTGAATTTTAAATCACATTATAGTGATTAAGTTGTGTCTTGTATCCATTTCAATTTTTTCTCTTGAATTATCAATATTTAAAGATACCCTTGCTCTTTCTGCATTTAGCATAATTAAAGTCCATTCTAGAAGTCAAAACATACAAATTCTAAAAAAGAATCTACTGTAAACAAAGCAAATTTATTTCAGTTCCACAAAGAATTCTGAAATGTTGCTGTACTTTATGACCCAAAGTCATATACATAAATTCATGTAACCATTTCCCATAAAAAGGGATAGAATTAAAAAGAAATGTGAATATTTTCTTTTGTTGTGATCTCTCCAGGCTTCGGATGTAACTGTATGGTTCCTGCCAATTTCAGAAGGCTATAATAAGAATCAAAGTGGACCAAAACTAAAATAATAAATGAGTAGATCATCTTTTCTTGGATTAAAAACTGTATAATATGGAACATGCCTTTGGAAAATGCCGTTCTGAGTTTGAGTCTTAGCTCCACATTTCCTAACTAAGGAATTCTTCCAACCCTTTACCACACTTTCTTGGCTCTGTGTTACTTCTGTAAGAGAAGGATCTCCACACTAATTTCAAAGGGTTGTTGTGAGTATAAAATATGATAATCAATATTAAGATTCCCATTCAGGGCAGGATACCTGGTTGTGTTTCAGCCAAACAAGTTCCCTCTCCTTCAAGGGGAACAAGAGACCCAGAGGCTGCTGAACATCAAGCACATAGAGAAGGCTGTCAACAGTAGAACATAACAATTTATAAATTTCTATTTCACAACAAGCCCTGGAACATTCATCGTCTGTGGAAATACACAAGTGCTGAGCCCAGGGCTGATTCCCAGCCACTGAGTCCAACACAAATGCACCTGAATGACTAAAGTGTGCTGTGTGACTCACCATCCCTGACAGCAATCTGGGCCCATCTGCTGAGCAGCATCTTCCAAACCAGGGAGGGCCAGTGAGAGTTGCTGAAGAGCTCTTAGAAGAAGGAGTTCTGCATATTCTTAAGGTGTGTGAGGCAAATGGCTCCTAACCATTACGTATTACACTTCGTGAGAAGCCAGCAAGTTTGTCTATACATTGTTACATGTTGTTCTGGGTCCATTCCTATTTTAGCAGAAAAAAGTCACATTTCAGCTAGAGCACAAAAGTCTGTCCCTATGCCTCATAGACAGACTCTGGTGGCTAATTTTATGTGACACACTCTATAACTATCTGAGAGGAATGAACCTCAAATGGAAAAAAAAAGTCTCCATAAGATGGGGCTGTAGGCAAGCATGTAGGGCATTTTCTTAATTAGTGATTGACAGGGCAGAGCCCAGACCATTGTGGATGATGCCATCCCTGGGCTAGTGGTCCTGTATTCTGTAGGAAAGAAGACTTAACAAGTCATGAGGAACAAAACAATAAAAGAAAGAGAGCCCTTGCCAGGCAATGGTGGCCCATGCCTTGAGTCCCAGCATTCGGGGAAAGAGGCAGGTGGATCTCTGTGAGTTCGAGATCAGTCTAGAGGGAGGGAGGGAGAGAGAGAGAGAGAGAGAGAGAGAGAGAGAGAGCCTCTCAATGGCCTCTGCATCAGCTCCTGCTTCCAGGTTCCTGCCATATTTAAGTTCCTGTGCTGACTTCCTTCAGTGATGAAGAGTGATGTGGAAGTATAAGTCAAATAAACCCTTTCTACCCCAAGTTGTATTCTGTCACTATCTTTCACCAAAGCAATAATTAAGACATATTCCAAAGCTCTTTTTATTTAACCATTTCTATAATCTTGCAAGGTGTTTGCTGAGCTAAATTGTCTTGGGGGTTAGAGAAAGCAAGTCAGAAGGATGCTTTTATGTCCCACCATCTTCCAAATACCACCCAAAAGCATTACGTGCTGGTGGGGTCCCAGACAAATGAAGTTGACTTCATTTGCTAAACTTCATACTCTGATTTAATCATATGTCACAATCCCCTGAGTCATTCCTTACAAGAATTTAGCTAGGCAATGCTGAGAATACATCTTGTCTGTGTTCTGTGACCCAACTACAAATATTGATGATGCTGAGATTAGAAGCTAACCTGAAATCTTGCCTACCTGCAGTCTCCAAGTTGGCGCACCTCCAAAGCTCCTCAGTGTGCAGTTCCAAAGGAACATGAGCCTCCAATGAACAAGTTTCCCTTTCCAAACAAGCTTACAAAAATCAAAAATGCTGAATCTAGGACTGTGGCACATAGCAGATCTGCAATAATAATTAGTTGAAAGAATAAATGACAAAACTGAAAATATGAAATGGGAGTGTGCTGTGGAGGTACCACTCAAGAGAGTGCCTAAATTCAGATTCATAGAACCCATGTCAAAAGTATGGTGTGGATGCTGCACATCTGTAATCTGAGCTCAGGTTGGAGAGTAATAAGTAGATTTCAGAGCTTTCTAGCGACCATTCTATGTAAGAAATGAGTGCTGGCTTCCCCAAGAAACTCTATCTCAAAGACAAGGAAGAAGTAACTGAAGAAATAATCAACTCAGATTTCTAGAAAACACACACACACACACACACACACACACACACACACACACACACACACACACACAGGAGGGGCATTGTATAAGTTTACACCTCTCTACAGTATTTTGTGTAAGAACGGGTAGATCAGAGAATAAGAGACAGAGGGAGAAACTTAACAAGGTTTTTATTTAATTATTATAATGAATGTAAAATGATAACACAAGGACTTTTCCAAGGAAATAAAATTATAGCTTCAGATATTGTACAAAGTGAGTTCCCTGCAAGCCTCTCTGTCCATGAAGTCAATACACTTGTGGACTTTTCAACAGGGAACAACTCCAGTGGGTGTTCTGTGAGTGCACATATACTCACTTCATATTTCATGGAACTGTTTCCTCTGTGATTAAGAAAGAACAATGAGATTAAGTTGCTGGTGACATTCTTTTCTGTTATGTCTTTTTAAAATGCACCTCCATTATTTTTAATGTACTTAGTTTGCTTTGGTATTTGATAGAATTGACTGTTGGTCACATTGATATGATTTTATAAATGGTCATACCTACAACAAAGTTAAAGTGGTATAAAAAATTGAGGGGATATAGTTGTTCTAAGAAACAATTGTGTTGTTTGCATAAAGTTCAACTAAAAGCAGTCTCTGATGTGTGAGGTTCTTTAAGGAAGTCAAGGATGCACTGAAGACCCACAGAGGCAGCAGTTGTCTCATTACTCCACCACATAGTCTTTCCTCAAGGTTTGTCTTGTTTTGTTTTCAAAATCCATCTTCTTACAAATTTCTACCCTGGATGTCCAGAGAAGAATAATGAATATATTTCAGTGGTTTACATAGAAGTACAACAATCAAACAAACAACACATTCATTTTTAAATATTTATTTTCTATGTTTAATTACATGTTTCCTTGTGTGTTTGTGTTTGTGCATGTCATTTTTGGTGTTAGTGGAGGCCAGAGGTGCTGGATCCCCTGGAGCTGAAGTTATACTTATAGGAGTTATAGCTACCTGACATGAGTGCTGAGGACTGAACTCAGTCTTCTTCAACAACATTTAGCACTCTTAAGCATTGAGCCATCTCTCCAGCCCTATATAAAAGAATGAGTTCTTAAGTACATGGCTTGGAAGACAGTAGAAAAGAGGGACAGTAGTCTAGAAAGAAGGCATGTTTAGAAAGTTGTCAACTATGGTTATTGTCCAAGCTCAGATAACTCTTCACTGGTAATTTTTAACTCACCTATAAGGTTCCCTGGCTCCCTAGAACTCACTCTATGGATCAGGCTGGCCTAAAAACTCAGAGATCTGCCTGTTTATGTCTCTTAAGTGCTGTAATTAAAGGCTCATGCCACTACACCTGGCTAAAAATAACTTTTTAAAAGTTAATAATATCCTATGTGCTCATTATTAGTAAATATATTATAATAATCCAAAAGCATGTTATACATCAGAGGTAATGGGAACACTGAAATGGTTGCATAACATAATGTTGAAAATGTTACGTAAATAAAATATTCCATAATATATGATGCTATTTATAAAGACACCAACAGTTGACAAAGTCAATTTACAGTGAGAAAGTTGGTTTTGGATTAGATAGATCTGAATTCTAATCTTGAACTTGAAATAAATGGCTATGGAGTTTTGAAAAAGTTGAATTGCCTCTTGAAGTTGTGGGGTTCTCTATGTGTCATATAAAACATTCATCATGACTTTTAATTGAAGTTCATAGAAAACAGTGAATCTGACTACTGGTGCTGCAAACTCTGACATCAAGTTTCACTTTTGATGTGTGTTATTATATCATAAGGCATTCCTAACTTCTTAGTTCTATGCCTCTTCTCACCCTCTCTGTTCTCTTCCTCTTCTCCATCCTTTGCCTTTTCATACACTTCTTTCCATATTTCCATCTTGTCTTAGTCTTATTTTTGGCTTTCTAAGTCTCCCCTCTGAAGCAACAACCCAAAGCTCTGCCAGTATTAAAAGAAGTTGCAAATATTTCTTCACAATCTCTCATCTGGGTCTCTTTCCCAATTTCCACATCTATTGTTATGGATTAAGTCCATCATATTAATGTGTACAGGTCATCATATATGGGGTTATTCCTGAGTTCAAGAGATAACTTTGCCATGGCAGAAGTATATTATAACTTGTGAGAAAGGAAATGACATTGAATTATTCTACGGTTCATTCCCCATATCTATATGAACTGCAGCAGCATCAAGCCATAGCTCTCATCAATAAATTGCCTTACACATATACATGGGACTCAAATATTCCAAAATGATTGTGCACTCTCATACACCTACTGCTTGCAAAATATTGCCCTCCATTTTCCTTTCTCACCTACTTTGATACATTTTTAATACAGAGATGTTTTTAGAACGTCTCAGCAAGACCTCATTATTCCTTTGTCTCAATTCCTCCAACAACAGTAAAATGTACATGGAATAAATTGAAGTCCTCAGTCAATTTTATCAGAGTTCTTCCTTCTAGCATCTACCTACTACCACCTTCACTGTAATGACCTTCGGTCTGCTTCTCAAATACACTAAACTTTTATTCATTTTAAGGTCTGCTCATTCTAATCCTTTATCAGAACAGTCTCCGAGATTTCCTAGATAGCTCTTCCTCAGAAGTTTAAGTATCATATCTGGAAAGACTTCCCAAGATTAGTCTTACTAAAGTCAGTTTTGCTACACCCTAGTTTACCACAGGATTACACTTTACTTTTGTTACAACACTTCTCATTGGCCCAGTTATCTGCTGTAGTTTTGTGTTGCTTATATGGTTGCTAAAGTCAGATGTTGGTAATATTATTGGAATAGTATGTACTGAATCAGTAATATTCAGTCTTAGACTCTAGGTTCTCAGTAGTCTTTCTTAGGGTTGAATGCAATAATTGCATAATCATTCCAAAAGAAGCTGTGTATTCTTTAGTAAAACAATATAGCTTAGATGTCTCCTTCTCCTCTAACATAATAAACTGCATTGACATTCTCTTGTTTGATATACTAGTTAGATTTTTGTCAACTTGATCCAACCAGTGTGATTTAGGAAGAGGGAAACTTATTTGAGTAATTGCCACCATTAGATTGGCCTTTGGTTGTGTCTGTGGGGCATTTCTATTTAATGATTGATGTAGGAGAGTCCAGTTGACTGTGAATAGTGCCAGCCTTAGCCAACTGGTCTTGGTTATATAAGAAAACAGGTTGAGAAAGCTATGTGGAACAAGCCAGTCAGCAGCACTCCCCCATGTCCTCTGCTTTAGTTCCTGTTTCCAGATTCCTACCTTGAACTCCTGCCCTTTGATGCTGGATTAGACCTGAGTGTTTGCAAGATAGAATCAACTCTTTCCTCCACAAGTTGGTTTTGGTCAGTATTATATCACAACAACAGAAAAGCAAAGTAGCACACTCTGTCTAGCCATTCCCAAATTTTACCTGACAGTAGAAATGTTAATACAAATTCCTCCTTTCTTTGCTCACTTTCATATGATCTGAGAAATGAGTTTGCTAAAAAGGAGGCATATTTCTAAAATACTGTACCAAAAGTTTCAACATCTGAGATCCAGCTGATTTACTTCTTGCTTACAATCTGTATTTAGGATAGAATAAACATGATTTTTGTATTTTTAAGACCTCATTTATATTTATCTACTAAAGAACTCCACTACATTAAAAAAAACCTTGGTGAATTTGTTGCTTTAACCTGCAGACAATGCACAGAAATGCCATGCTTGTGAACAAATTTATGTATCCTCCAAATTTGAATTCCCTTTAAGTCATTTTATTGTGATGCATATTGAAAATGTATTCTGCACACACACACTTAAGCAAAGACTGTCATGATCATACCTCAAGCTCTTACTCCTCCCTTCAAAGCTGGGTGGACACATGAAAAGGAGGAAAATAAAAACATATCAAAAGAGATTGACAGTGAAATGTAACACAAATATTTTGGAATTTGATCTGTGATTTAACACATAGTAGCTGTTCGACATTGACAAATTATTTAACCTCCTTAGCTGTAATTTTCTCAGGAGTGTGACATTTAACACCTGTTCTCTTCTTTGCTTGATTGTTGTTGTAGAATCTAAATGAGTTTACAAAATCCTTGAGTATTCAGAAAATGTCAGCTCTTGTCATCAACCATAAGTCACTGAAATTATGGTCTTTGCTTGGGATGCAGTCAAGCGAAGGAGCTAGGTGGTTTTGGTGCTACTTGAAGAATCCAATAGCTTTACCAGAAGGATTGCAGCCCTTTTAGTTTTCCTTAGGAAAATTAATCTCAGCTGAGTACAGCCTTTGAGGAGGAGGATGGGTTTGTAAACAATTATGCAAAAATAGTCATATGCCTTTCTCCAGATTTAAGCACCACATGAGCAAGGAATAATGTGGATGAGTGGAGAATTTCATTTTGTTTGTCTTAAAAGCTAAGGATTTCTGTGTGATGTTGAAAGCCATTTCACCTTCAGGGTGAAGGTGAAGGAAAGATGGTTTGACTCTGTTCTCTTTCAAGGACAATGTTGGGTTTAGGGAGAGGAGAATGCATGTGGGATTTTGTGAATACCTATTGTTCAGAGGTAAATATTAATAGAAATACTCACCCTACATTATCTGCCAAAATTAGCCTTCTTCGTGCCCCATGGCTATATTTTTATCTCTGAGATCACCATGAAAGGATGAGTCCTGAAAGGGGTTATAAAACATTTCTACAGCTGGGAGGACTTTGTTCATGAATTGAATAGGGTCAAGATAGGAGGGACCATTTATATTTACATCCTAATACAAATTTATTTCTACCTATTGAGAGAATCTAATAAAGTCAGTTCATTTTTCATTTCCTAATAAGGACCCATTTCCTCATAGTCAATTTAAAAATAAATATATGAAAGTTGTCACTGGTGTGGATTAGTTTTATGTCAACTTGACACAAGTCTTCTTACCTGAGAGGAATCGACCTCATTTGTGAAGTGCTTCCATAAAATTGGGTGCAGGCAAGCTTATAGGGCATTTCCTTAATTTGTGATTGATAGGAGAGAGCCTAGAATATTGTAGGTGGGGTGATCCCTGGGCTTCTGGGTACTGGGTACTATAAGAAATCAGGCTGAGTCAGCCATGAGAAACAACTCAGTAAGTAAGTATGCACTCCTCCATAGTTTCTACATCAGCTTCTGCCTCCAGGTTTCTGCCCTGTTTGAATTCCTGTCCTGACTTCCTTCACTAATGAACAGTAATGTGGAAGTGTAAGCCAAATAAACTTTCCTCCCTGACTTACTTTTGGTCATTGTTTCATTACAGCAATAGTAACCATAAGACACCACTGAAGGACTAAATATTTTAAGTTTTAAGAGACTATTTTATACTGTTTTTCTATGCAAGATAAAGCCATTATTCTAATTTCATTACAGAATTTATTTGTATATTTATATACAAAAACATAGTATAAGTTTCTTTAGAAAAGAAGTTGAAAAAGGTAAGCCATCCAGAGAAAAATGTCAGAATCAGCATTTAAATTATTCAGCTCCTCTGAAAACTCAAATATATAAAACAAAACATTAAACAGTTATATGTAATTCATTGTTCCTTTGTTTAGATCTGTATACTTTATCTTAAAACTTTTAGAAAAATTAGAGTTCATTATTTTAAAGGGGATATGCAATAATAAATAAATAATATTCTATCACTATGCCTTAAAGAAGATGGTTTAAGATATAATAAAAAATTGGGACTTCAAGATTGCTATTTGTGTGGGCCTCTCTCTAGGTTTAAATCTCATAATTCCAACTATGAAAACCAATCCAAAAATCCTCTTCCTCTCTCTCAATCTATCTCTCTCTCTCTCTCTCTCTCTCTCTCTCTCTCTCTCCCTCTCCATGAATTACTGAAATTGGAGATTGGGATAGCATCTAGTCCCCTGATCTCAAAGATGATGGGGATTATTTTGCATAAAAATGCAATACAGACTATATAAAATGCTATATAAAGAAAAACAAGAGGACTTCAGACAGGTGAAGAGTTCGTGGTAGACAACAAGCCTAGTACATCATTCACATAGATATCTCACATGTTATGTGGATAGTCTGTATCTCTTCAAACATATCTTCCACTCTACTGTTATATATACAGAAGCTCCACTACTTAAAAAGGTTGGAGTTACAATTGTCCACAGATCTTCACTAGATTTCCCAGGAGAATGAGACCATGTTGTCTAGACTCAGAACAACAGATTAATGTCCACATGAAATCATTTTAATTTTGTCCATTCTTTTTTAAAATTAGTGCATGTCACAACAGTGCTTGAAGTAGAGTGCTTTCACAAAATCACTCAATGATGAAGAAATCAACATGCAATGATCCTTGGATAAGTTTACAAGACAGCTGACAAGAAATAACACAATTTGGAATAAATGTATTAATGAATGCTATCATAATTTCTAACTCGTGAAATTTTACTCTATATAGATGCTTACCAATGCTTTAGACTTATTACTAAATTGGTTCCTGTATGCAGCTCTTTAGAATTTATTTGTTGAAAGTCACATCCATGTTCATAGTTATTGATGATGTGGACATTTCAGTAGATACCATTTTTAGTCATATATGGTAAAGTAATTAATCCTAAGATGCCGATGGACTAGAGGCCTGTAAGCTATAAATATAACCATTTAGAACATTAATATTTGTGCATTTGTGGTGTAGTAAAAAATAATGTGTTAATAGATTTTCCTGTTTCATCTGTGTGAGTCATAAATGTAATTATGTATGCACTGATAAGAGTACAGCATAGGACATTTCCCTACAGATACATAAAAAACATGGCATAATGACAAGGTAAAGTAATTGTCTGGGGACCAAGAGCAATCCCTTGTTCAGGTCAGCTGTTTCTGTGGGTTTCACCAGCCTGGTATGGACCCCTTTGCTCATCAGTCCTCCTTCTCTGTAACTGGATTTCAGTTCAGTTCAAGGTTTAGCTGTAGGAGTCTGCTTCTACTTCCAAAAGCTTCAGGATGAAGGCTATACAATGGCACAAGAATTAGTAATCAATCTCATTATCAGGAGAAGGCATTTAAGGTAGCCTCTCCTCTGTAGCTGGGAAACCAGCATAGGACTGATCCAGACCACCTGAATGTGAGTGTCAGTGAGGAGACCTTGGAAATCTATGGGGCCTCTTGTACTGGGTCAGGACTTATCCCTAGCATAGGAATGGACTTTGGGAGCCCATCCCATGTGGAGGGATACTCCCTGAGCCTAGACACTAGGGCTTGGCCTTACGCCCTATCACAAAGAATATGACAGATTTTGAAGACCCCTATGGAAGGCCTCACCTTCCCTGGGGATCAGATGTTATGGGATAGGTAGGGTGTTAGTTGGCAGGGCAGGGGAGGAGGGGAGGGAGAGGGACTTGGGATTGACATGTAAAATAATTTTCTTTCTATTTAAAATAAAAACAAAATTAAAAAGTAAAGCAATTGTGACTTTGAAGATAAAGATTCTAAGAAGAAAGGAAACAAGAAGCAAAACAAGCCATAGGAAAAAATTGAATGGGTTCTAACTCCAAAATTGTCCCAAAGGGCAAGACACTTGTAAACACAATTTTGACTCAATGGAATAAAAACATCTATTTTTCTCTTCTTAAGACATTAATAATTTGCAATTATAATAATATATTAATACTGTGTAGAATTCAAGTCACTAGCAAAATCACTTTTATTATTAATAATTCATAAGACCAACATTGGGCTTAAGGTTTAGTAATCATAGAACTCAAGAATATATACTATATCTTCAACAGACTGAGGATGAAAAGTCTTTATTGTGGAGGCAGATGAAGCCAAGTTAACACCCAGGCATTTATCCAGAATGACATAACTGCTTATGCATTACTTAACTAATATGTGCTTTGACAGTCTCATCTATAAATGAGAATTATTAACATTATCATTACTCAAAATTTAGGTCATGGTGAGAAAAATAATAAATGTTTAATAATTTCTTTATTTTTCTTTTTCTTTTCAGTAAAAACTAAAGACAGAAGGTAAGAATCAAATAACCAGCACTCAGGAAGTGGAGGCAGGCAGATATCTGTGAGTTCGAGGCCAGCCTTGTCTCCAGAGCGAGTGCCAGGATAGGCTCCAAAGCTACACAGAGGAACCCTGTCTTGAAAAACCAAAAAAAAAAAAAAAATCAAATAGAATTATCTGAGACAAAAACTACATTGTAACAAACATGAAAGTAAATCCAAAGAAAAGATTAACTTGAGAATGATCTGTTTAGGTTTTGCCCTGCGTTCATTTCTGTTTCCATATAAACCCAGCCCCCCACCCACCAATTCGGAGTATAGGTAAGAACATTTGATGACATCAACTTAGATAAAATTATCATTCTGAATTACAAACACAGAAAATAATTGGCCATTTAATTATTTTTTTAAGTTTTAAAATTATTTGTTTATTTTTATTTAAATTAGAAACAACCTTATTTTATACATCAATCCCAGTTCCCTCTCTCTCCCATCTTCCCATAGCCCCCAACAAACCCCATCAGATCCCTCTTCTGCTCCATAGAAAAGGCGAGGCCTTCCATGGGGGTTCATAATTTGGGGCAGGGTCTAGGCCCTCCCTCATATGTCTAAACTGAGAGATTATTCCTCCATGGGGAATGAGCTCTCAATATCAACTTGTACATTAGGGATACTGTTCCACTACCAGAGGCCTCATAGACTGCCCAGGTCTCCTAACTGATACCCATGATCAGGAGGCCTGGCTCTGTCCTATGCTGGTTTCCAAGCTGTCAATCTGGGGTCCATGAGCACTCCTTTGCTCAGATCAACTGTTTATGTGGGTTTCCCCAACCTGGTTTTTATCCCTTTGCTCATCATTCCTCCATCTCAGTAACTTTATTCCAGGATATCAGCTAAGTTCTTAGCTGTGGGTCTTTGCGTCTACTGCCATCAGCTACTGGATGAAGGCTCTAGGATGGCATATAAGGTAGTCATCAGTCTCATTATAGGTGAAGGGCATTTAGGATAGCATCTTCACTATTGCTGAAAATCATCCTTGGGGTTATCCTTGTATATCTCTTGACATTTCCCTAGTAACAGATTTCTCTTTAAACCTACAATGGCTCCCTCTATTAAAGTATCTTTTTCTTGCTCTACTCTATTCTTTCCCCAACTCAATCTTCCTGATCCCTCATGTCTTCCTCTGCTCTCCTCTCTCCCCTTCTCTTTATCCTAACTCCATCTCCCCTCCCCCCATGCTTCCAATTTTCTCAGGAGATCTTGTCCCTTTCCCCTTCTCTGGGGAACCATGTATGTCTCTCTTAGGGTCTTCCTTGTTTCCTAGCTTCTCTAGAGGTATGGGTTGTAGGCTGCTTATCCTTTGCTCTATATCTAGCATCCATATATGAGTGAGTACATACCATGTTTGTCTTTTTGTGACTGTGTTGCCTCACTGAGCATGGTTTCTTATAGTTCCATCTATTTACCTTAAATTTCAAGATTCCATTGACTTTTTCTGCTTAGTAATACACCATTGTGTAAATGCACCACATTTTCTTTATCCATTCTTCAGTCGAGGGGCATCTAGGCTACTTCTAGGTTCTGGCTATTACAAATAATTCTGCTATGAACATTGTTGGACAGATGTCCTTGTATGAATCTGCATCCTTTGGGTATGTGCCTAAGAATGGAATTGCTGGATCTTAAAGCAGACTGATTGCCATTTTCCTGAGGAACCATCATACTGATTTCCAGAGTGATCTTACAATTTCCCACTCCCACTAGCATTGGAGGAGTGTTCCTTTTTCTCCACATCCTCTCCAGCATAATCTCTGATTGGTATTTTTGATTTTAGCCATTCTGAGAGGAACAAGATGGTATCACAGAGTTGTTTTGATTTGCATTTCACTTATGGCTAAGGATGCTTAGCACTTTCAGCTATTTATGTTATGTTATGTGTCTTTCAGCCATTTTAGATTGCTCTATTGATAATTCTCTATTTAGTTCTGTATCCCACTTGTTAATTGGATTGTTTGGTGTTTTGGTGACTAGCTTCTTGAGTTCTTTGTATATTTTGGAAATCAGCCCTATGTCAGATGTGGGCTTGGTGAGTTTCTTTTCTAATTCTGTGGGCTACTGTTTTGTGTGTTGACTGTGTCCTTTGCCTTACAGAAGCTTGCTGTCAAGCTTGATGACATGAGTTCCAACTCCCAAACCCACATGATGGAAGGTGATAACTGACTCCTAAAGGCATCCTCTGATTTCTACCCAGGCACACACACACACACACACACACACACACACACACACACACATAATATTCTTAAAAAATGCTTATTGATGTAATCTTCTGAAAGAATGAATTAACACAATCAGAATAATTGGAAAATGAAGGTAAGAAATAAAGCATGGGCAGGCAAGTACATAATAAGTAAAACATATAGATAACCATCCACTCTTCTGAGGAATAACAATATCTGAGGAAACAGGAGCCTTGAGACATAGTTTGATGATATGTACAATGGTGTTACCAGTTCTGGACCTGACTGCACAGATCTAACAATCATTGACTGGGTGGTCAGACTCACTCTGCACATGTGAAGGTGCTGCTCAAAAATGGTAGTGATGAAACTGTACTGACTGTGATGGTCAATGTTGTTTGATACATTTGGAATCAAAAATCTTCTATCCAGGTCTGTGAAGACATAATCAGAAGAATTAACCTTGGAGACACCATCCACTAACAGCCCTGGATATAATGAGATCCAAGGACGAATCAGTGTTTCTTGGTTGCCCACTTTTGCTTCATGCTGATGAAATCATTTAGGCCATAGTCGGTGGTTACTGCTATCAGAACATTGTCTCTTAAGCTTTTCAATATTGACTGAAGAACAGCAGTTCTCTGATCATCATCCAGGTCCTCAGTGCCAGGTTGGTGCTGCTGTGATGTCTAGCATTGTAATCTAAGCATCTACTGGGTTCTCAGCATTTCCAGTATAAAGACAACTGTTGCACTACTTATTCCATTCTGTGTAAGTTAATCTAGCATATCCACTGTTGCAATGTATTTATTCATATTTTCATTTCAACAATGTTCTTCTTTAGCAGAGCCTTGAATATATTAGTCTCTATAAGGTTTTACAATGGAAATAAGGACAGAAACCATGTCAGGAGAAGAAGGGACAGAGCTAAGCTAAATATTTTCATTTTTAAGTGTACTCACAGTGGCATTAGATGTAGCAAAAAAGATGGAAATCCTGTGTTTTACAAGGACAGGAACTATGGATTCTAAATTGAAGAGTTTAACTACACTTTTAGTGTGATTCTGGGGCCATTAGACATCACAGGGTCTTTGAAAAGAGAAAAAAAAAGGATCTGCATGCAAATACAGAAAGGTACCAAGAAAACCATATCCTCTGGCAACTCGTGGAAAAAGAAAAACTGCTTTAGTGAGAAACTGAACAGCTTAAAATGTGCCATGAAGCATGTCAACTCAGAATTTGTTACTTGTGTGAAGTAGGGTCACAAGTGAAGAAAATAATGCAAAAAATACCAAAATAAGACCATTGTAAACTCCATGATTGATGCTTGCAATAATTACAACAAACCACATAGTAGAGATAATTCTAAAATCAAGAGGATATGTGTTTCTCATTGACAGCAGGAGATGGTGTGGTGGGAAAGACCACCATGGAAAATAAACACATAATCCAAAGTTACAATTTACTTAAGGAAATGATCCACCACACGGGAGATGAACAGAAACAGAAAAGTATAAAATTAATATCCAGAGAAATCGAAATTAGAGAACAGGAGAAACAAGCTATCAAATAAGTGCTTTTAAATGATTAAAGGTAACATAGAAAAACAAAATTAAAGTGAAAATGAGATATTAAAATATGAATAATTTGAACTTGAAAAGACACTGAGGCTATAAAGAAAAAAAACTTTTGTAATCTTTCATTTGCTGGGCTATATAGTGGATTAGTTACAGCTGAAGAGAAAAGCAAAGACTTGGAATATTAAAAAAAAAAAAAAAACGAAAATTTTCTTATCCAAGCACTAAGATATAACTACGGATAAAGACCGAAGAGCTGAAGAGGTGTGGTGCAGAATATTAGGATTTTCAATATTTGACACTGTGTATATGTCTAATGTATGGCACACCATAGAACATTGTAAAAAATAATTGTTGAAAAAGTGAACAAATGAATCAGTCTACTGAAAGAGAGGTTAAATATACTTGAAAACAATTGAAAATTAATCATGTCATAGCTATAAAGTTTTCTTGTTTGAACAATAACATGTCAGTTTAAAAAAAGATACAGCAAGTCCTAATGGAGGAAATCAAAGGAAACATTCACTTACAAACTACACTTCAGACAATAGACATTTTAGAAGCAAACAAAAGAAAGTGCAGACAAAGACAAAATAAACTGAAAAAAAGATGATGCTTCATAGTCCTCTTAGATGCAACCAGAGACGAGAAGGATAGTCAACACGCACGCACGCACGCACGCACGCACGCACGCACGCACGCACGCGCACACACACACACACAAATTATTTGTGGCAATTGCAAGTAATTCGCAACTGAGACTAAGAAAAATGCCTTGTTATCAAAAACTAGAAACATATTGACCATCACAAAAATACTGCTATAGTGTAGGAGAAAATTGGAATGAGAAGGGATCAGAGACATCCAATAAATAACTTATCAGACACTGAATATAAATGCACATAAACAAAACAAATAATAACTGATTTACAAAAATTTTGAGGAAAGTGGAATAAAGAGTTCCTAAACACTGCTGTAAATGACTGATGCAATGATAGATGGAACATCAAGAACTTTCATCTCCTTAAATGCTGGACAGATTAGAAACACTGAAGGATTTCAAGTATTTGTTCATCTATACAAGGTTTCTCTGTGTAGCTTTGGAGCCTATCCTGGCACTCAATCTGTAGACCAGGCTGGCCTCGAACTCACAGAGATCTGCCTGCTTCTGCCTCCCGTGTGCTGGGATTAAAGGCATAAGCAACCAATGCCTGGCCATCTACACATTCTAACATCAAACTATATAAATATTACACAAACACACACTCTTACACATTCCTTCAAAACTAGTAAAGAAGTCAGAAAACTGTTTTACAAGGCATAGTCTAGATGAATGTAGGGAGGGAGAAAAAAACTCAAAGGTAAAGTCTTATTAAGCAAAAATAAATAAAGTAGAATTATAAAAATAAACTCAAACATCAATAAAAAAAAACATCTGTATGTCCATGTTCATTTTACTTCCTTAGAGACAGAAATCCTCAGATTTGATTTGAGAATGTCAGTAAGTTCTGCAGACAATAGACTAAATAAAACACAAAAAAATAAGGGTTGGGGATGTAGGCCAGTGGTAATGTGCTTGCCTACCATGCATTGGGCTCCTTATCTGATCATCAGTAATGAAAAATAAAATTTTAAAAAACTAAAAAGAAGCAGTAGTAATAATACAAAGACAGCACGACCTCAAGATAGTCAATACATTCTAAAATGCTAGAAACAAAAAATCCTTTCATACAGAAGGATCTTTTAACTTTACACAAACACATGCATACACACACACACACACACACACACACACACACACACAGGTACACATGCACATGTGGACAGCCATAGAAAAGTTTAACAGCTGCAACTGGAAAGGTAGTTTGGCAGTTAAGAACACTTGATGAAATATCATAAGGACCTTGATGAACAATTGTAAGCTCAAATCCTTACATACATACAGGCATGAGAAAAATCTGGGCATGACCAAACATGTTCCTGAAACCCTGATACCATAGAGAATAGAGAAAGAAGGTTCTGGGGTTTGTTGGATGCCAGCCCAGGTTCAGTGAGAAGCCCTTTCTCAAGGGAATCAGGCAGAGAGTGGTAGAACAGGGCATCCCATGTGCTCCTGTGTAATCAGTATTGAATAGGCATGTGTATCCCCACATGTGTTTACACTCACATTAAAAGAGAAAATATCTGTTAACATGTTTATGGCATTGTTAAACAACGAAATAATAATTACCTAGTAAAGATTCTGAGTACATAAGCTGTCAATATTAATACTTTCAAATGTATCCAGTGATTATTAACATATTCAGAAAAAGAAAATAGTTTTTTTATAAATATACTAAAGATTCCCATTTACCTCTCTCAAAAACAGGAAGAAGTAAAAAACATAAATAGGCACAAACAATATATTTTTAATGGTTTCATAACTTAGTCTTTAAGAGCTGTTAGGAAATTCATTAATCTGGGGTAGAAGAGGTATCTCGGTGGCAAAGAGCATTTGCTGCTCTTCAGAGGACTCAGATTCAGTTCCCAGCACTCATGATAGTTTACAACGACCTGTTACTACAGCTCCATTAGATCCAATGCCATTTTCTTGACCTATATAAGCACCCATGCACAAGTGGCATTCACTAACACTGACACATAAAAATACACATAATTAAAATAATGTGAATAAATTATTTTTTAAAACTTTATCAATATAACATCACAAACCACAAAAATTAAATAACAAAAAGGATACTGAATATCTTATAGTTTGAGCAGTTAAAATAATAATGTAAATTTGAATCACAAAACATTATTAAATCTTGTTTGCTATCCCAAAGTAATTATCAGAGATGGGAAATACATATCCTTAGTTAAGAAAATAGGACAAAAAAGAAGAGAATTAAGAATTTAAAAATTGTAGAGGAGACATAATTAGAAAAGAATGTTGCTTGGAAAATGACAAAAAATAAAAACAATGAAATGCACAATAGAATTAAAATGATCCAATTAGGAAAGAGCACAAAACTCTAACCATTATAGAGGCTGAATTAAATGCACATCCATATGTAAACATGAACACACTTGAACTCAACCTAAATATTTGCAGAAAATATAACAAATCTACAAAGTATGTGTAATGCTTATTTTGTGTGGTAGTCCAACTTTGCTGTTTTGCTTTCCACGGTTTCAGTTACATGTGGTCACCCGCAGTCCAAAAATATTACATGGAAAATTCCAGAAATAAGCAATTCATAAGTTTTAAATTCAGTGCTGTTTTGAGTAACATGGTGAAATCTCACACTACTCTCCTCCATCCTGCTGGGTACATAAAGCATCTCTTTTTCCAATGAATCTAGTCTGCATGTACTATGAACCTATCCATCAGTCATTTAGCCTTCTTATATAGGGTGTTACTTGACCTTCATTCCTAAGACAAAATACCTGAGCAATTAATTTATAGGAGAAAAGATTTGTTTTGTATTAAAAATTCCACAATATATTCTGGTGATGATTTCTTCTCATAGATCCTTCCTACCTCCCTACCAACTAAATCCATAATTTATTTTGTTTCCTGATTTCAAAGAATCCTTGACATTGGTAAGTATGTGAAAACAATGGTAGTTCCATTATTTTTAGGTCAATAGCAAGACAAAAGCATCATGGTAGGGCATAGCATAAGAAAGCTGTTTATCTATCATAGCCAGAAAGCAAAACAGAAAGTAGAGGAAAGTAAACAGTGCATATCCTTCATACTTCCTCCAATCAGATTCCATGTCCTAAGGTACATTTGGGATGGACTCAAAGGGTTAACTCAGTGAGGAAGTTTGAGCCCTGATAGTCTAATCACATCTCAGCAATACCACCTGCTG